ATTAATATATGGCAATCATGAGACTTCAATCCTTTTAACTTTAGGTCCTTAAGTGATACAAGACTTTTAATGTTTGATGAATACCCCTTTAGAACCTTAACTGAATAAAGAGTCTCACATAAAGTTTCAGCTATTTGGTTTTGCAAACATGGTAATCTCCCAGGATCAATCACTTTGCTACATATTGCCTTGAAAAAGAAACACAACTTCGTGATTGCCATGCGAACCTTTTCGGATAGAATAGACCATATAGCAACAGGAATTAAATTCTCTATTAATATATGGCAATCATGAGACTTCAATCCTTTTAACTTTAGGTCCTTAAGTGATACAAGACTTTTAATGTTTGATGAATACCCCTTTAGAACCTTAACTGAATAAAGAGTCTCACATAAAGCACGTTTCTCATAACTAGACAGGGTACATGTTGTTGGCAGTAAAAAGGTCCGCTTTCCCTTCTTCACTGGAGCCAAATCGGATCGTATTCCCAACTTCATCAAGTCAAGTCTTGCATTGATGCCATCTTTCTTTTTTCCCACAATGTTTAATAATATACCAATCACACCTTCACAAACATTTTTTTTCAACATGCATAACATCAACAAAGTGTCTTACATATAAAGATTTTCAGTACAGTAACTGAAAGAAAATTGACATCTTCCAACCTGTGGTTGGAATTTGTTTGGCAAAAGGTTTTCTAAATGTTGTTCTTATATGTTTAACCTCATCAAATATTTCTTCTCCACTCTTCAAATAAGGACATCGTCGTTCTTCATAACTTCCATTAAAAGCTTTTTTCATTTTTCTGAAAGAATGATTTTGATAACCACCTACAATGTCCCATGAAAATATTTTTGTGACAATGGTCTATTCTTACATAATCTGTTTTTTCCTGACATATTGGACATGCACATTGACCTTTGATGCTGTAACCATAAAGATTTCCATATGCAAGAAAGTCATTAATTGTTCCATACAACATTGCCTTCACTGTGAAATTTTCATCTCTAAATCTGTCATATACTTCTATGCCATTATCCCATAACAACTTCAAATCTTCAATTAAAGGAGACAAGTACACATCAATGTCATTTCTAGGTTGTTTAGGACCAGAGATTAATAAAGAAAACATCATATGTTTTCGCTTCATGCAAAGCCATGGAGATAGGTTATACATTATTAAGATCACGGGCCATGTACTATGGGTGCTACTTTGCATGCCATGTGGATTCATTCCATCGGTTGCTAATGCAAAACGTATATTCCTTGTTTCAGTTGCAAACTCTTCATGGTCATCGTCAAATTTTTTCCACTGCGGAGAATCTACTGGATGCCTAAGCTTTTCATCTCTAATTCGGCCTTTAGCACGTCAAGTCATCTACTTTGCATTTTCTGCACTGCAAAAAGATGTATTAACCTCAGTATTAGTGAAAAATACCACACGACCTTCGCAGGTGTTGTGTCTTTCTTTAGGTATCGTGATACATTACACTTTGGACATTTCCTTAGTGATGCATACTCATTTCAGAACAAAATTCAGTTATTAGGACATACATGTATCTTTTCATGGGTCAATCCAATGGAAGCAAGTACTTGTTTAGCCTCATATGTTCTCTTCGGTAACACATTATCCTCTGGCAGCATCTCATGTAATAAACTTAGCAGCTCTGTGAAGCTCTTATCAGTCCATCCATTCGAGGCTTTTAAGTTATAAAGCTTTAAAACAAAACTCAATCTTGTGAACTTTGTACATCCATTATACAATGGTGTTTCTGCATCATCTTTCAGCCTCTCAAATATCTTTTGACAATCTCTAAGATCTTCTTCAACAACATTTGGAATTTGTTCAGCATGATCACTTTCATTTGTTCTAAATGTCTTTGAGTAATTGACACTTGATTCCATGTTAGTTGATGTACTTCCACCTTATACCTCATCGTGCTTTGTCCAACAAGCATATTTTTCATCTATCTCATTGCACATTAGATGTTCTTCCAATTCTTCTGCATTTACTTGTAACATATTCAAACAACACCAACAAGGACAGGGAATAAGGTTGACATTAGTTGCATTCTTAATCGTAAATCTAATAAACTCTTTGACTCCGTCTTCGTATTCTTCACTTAAACGATCAACTACCATCCAACTTCGATCCATATTTGCTCCAACTACGGTTACGATCATTATAAATGTGAATGTCTTATTAACTCTCACATGGTAGGGCCCTATCCCATTTGAGAACAAACTTTTTCCAACCTTAATTAACAAATGCTACTTAAATGTTGTATTTTTTACTTGATAAAATTTGGGCAGCATTTCGCATTAGTCTCCTAGTACACAACTTGAAATATATGAGATGATTTACCTCAATTAAGCATGCACCAAGAGACAATGAGAAATGCTTCAAACTTAAATTTTGTTAAGTATTAAATACAACATTATGAGAAGAAAATGCTAACAAATTAATGAATAAGTTTGTTCACAAACTGTCCAACTTAGACAATTTGAGATTAAAAATAATGATTTATTAAACATTATTTTCAATCTCAAACGGGAGACTATGGTTTCACTCAATTTTACATTTCAAATCATAACCTATAAAGTTTAATCACTAACAATAATCATGCATTCATCACATTCTACAATACGACATCAGATTCATTCATACACAGAGAAAATATACATTTCGAGGGGCAAACACAACAACATGCTCTTGCATTATAACTAACCAGTGTCCTAATATCATATTCAACAAATCCTAAAAAACCATTCCAACAACATTTCAGAGGTTAACAAACTAAGATTCAACATGCTTATATCAACTTTTACAAAATAAAAAGTAATTTCATGCTCTTTGTTCACGCGGCAGCAATGGTCAACATGTTAACAATATTCAGTTCATACAAATTATAAACACAACAGCATGCACCAACCTGGAATTAAGAAAAGAGTGCAAATTTGTCGCCGTTCAACTAGGACCAGAAATGGAGAAGACGTTGTCACTGTTCAACGTAAAAAACAGAGGTACGTATCAGTGAACAGAGAGAATGAGAGAGTGTGAATGTCCAAACATGGCCACAAAACAAAGAAACGATTATGAATATACCTTCAATTTCTGATTGCAATGTCAGGTGTGCTTGTTCCTCTGCAAAAATTTCTCAAAGAACACTAAACAAAGAATTTTGAAGTACAGACTTAGCGGGGCGACAGGGATAACCAGATTAGGGTTTTAAAAATACAACATCTGAGAGCGGTTATTTCATAACCACTCTCTAATATGGACTTCTGAGAGCGGTTCATTTGGAACCGCTCTCTAATATATACTTCTTAGAGCGGTTATTTAACAACCGCTCTCAGAAGTCCATATTAGAGAGCGGTTCCAATTAAAACGCTCTAAGAAGTATATATTAGAGAGTGGTTAAGGCAGAACCACTCTCTTAGTGTTTTATACAAAGCGGTTATTACTAACTGCTATCTAAGTAGGCGCTCTAAAAGCCAATTTCTGGCTAGTGGTTGGAGAGGTTCTTACCGTTTTAATTGTATCTTGACGATCAAATATCTATTTTGAATGAGCTAAGGTGCAAAGGAACCTTTGGATGCAAAGGAATATGTTCAAGGGGTCAAAGAAACCTTTGGATGCAAAGGAATACCTTCGAGGGGTAAAAAATGTCATATACAAGGACCGATTGTAGAAAGTTACGTCCTTTTCCATAGAGGAAGTTCAAAAATCTTACCTCCTTACTTTTTTTGATCACCTCTTTACTTTTGATCGGTGAAAATGTTGAAAGTGTTTGATCTTAAAATATCCAACTCAAAAACTAAGAGACCAACTCTCCAACCATTGGGCCACCTCCATTGGTGTGTATTTGCAATTTAAATCTAATTAAAGGGTTTTTCTTATTATTTATGTTCAAGAGTAAAGACTCTTAAGACATTTTGCTAAAGATCCTTAAATAAATTCCTTAGCACTAGAAATTCTATTTTCTGAAAAATCAACAATATACTTAAAAAGAATCATTTTGTAAAATAAAAATAAATATTTGTATTTCAAAACCATTCAACCAAAAATCATAAAATTTATAAAATAATTTTAAAAACCTTTGACACACCCAAGCACGCACAATATTCAATTACAAAATTAGTTCTTTACTTTCTATACTTCAATTCATTTTATAAACCATCCTAAATGGTAAAAAAAATTAAGCAACATTATTCATTTTTCATTTCTAATAAAAAAAAATAAAGATAAAAATAAGACAAACACTTACACGGTGATAGTATAAAATATGATACAGAGTATTACAAAATATCAAGTTAATAACAACAAGCACAAGTATGCAGCACAAAATCGAGATATATAAGGTGCTCACATAGAAGAGAAAGCAACTTGGCATTAACATGTAACAAATGCAAGAAAAGTCGTCACACACACATTGACAATTAATGGCAAAGTTTCAAGAAAATTATAAGATTAGGATTTAGATTTAGATTTAGATGCAGTCACAAATACATTAAAATAGGATATCATACTAAAAAGTAAAGAAAACTCTTGTTTAACGTGAACAACATATGTGTGAGGCTAGGACTATCGACCTACAATCAAGTCTAGATAATGTAGGCTAAAAGGTCCCAAATTTATGCATACCTTCAATTATAATACTAGTCTTTATTTGTTTTTGTATTTTCGGGCTAGCTGGTAAGCCCATTCTGCCGAGTCTGTTTATTAAAATTGGCAATATACTACATAATTTAATACATCAATGACATTAAATACTACAATTTCAATAGAATATTTCTATTTCTTGATTCCTTAATTGTGTTTTTTTGTTTTTTTGCCCCCACTTAGAATTTTTTGTATTGGTAAAATTATCTTTTCAACTATTGTTAGATGATTAACTTTTTATCCACAAGTCAAAGTCAAAGTCAAAGGCTAAATAGCCAGAACAAGAAGAGATTGGAACATCCGATTTCAAAAAATGAAAGAAACGAAAATACATGTTGCAATATATATATATATATATACACGTAGATGATACAAACTTTACTACATTTTCCTTCTTTTATTCAACAAACCTCTTATGTACATAAGAGGGAGCTCATTCCGCTAATACAGCATATAAGAGGCGAACTACCCTAAGGAGTTTGAGGTCTGTATCTTATTTATTCAGCAAAACCTGTTCTAGACTTAGAATTCAACAAAGTTTAATTTTCACGCACATACTATTACCAAGCTCTTCCAAATATCTTGATCACATCACTTTCTTCCAACTGACTCGGTTAACAGTCATTGCCTCTTCAAATCTAATTTTCTGTCTTTGCAAATCTTCCACGGATTCTCGGTTGGCTGTCAGCAAGTGCCTTCCTGCAAGCATACTGAAACCAAAACACACAAATTAGTTGAATTCAGAATCAGGAATCAGGTGAAAGGTTGAAAATGTCATCATTCAAATTACGAAGCATAAGAAAATTAAGTTGGAGCATTAATCAAATATTATTTATTCTTTCCTCTTTTCATCCCGGTGCACAGCAGCAGAAATCTTTTACTGCTAGTGAACATATTAAATTCCGGCAGATATGTGACGCAAAACATTCCTAGAATTGGTAAACAAAGACATAAAATCTACTACCTTAATTTTTCTCCCGAAATTTCTCTTTGTCTTCTTATTCCTATATCTGGAGAGCTTTTCTTGACGTTCCTCACTAGTGCAGTTGCTGAGTAGAAAAGGCCTCTCCAGGGGAGATTGGCCAGTGTTCATGTGGCCATTACCAAGAGTCTGTCATAAAAGGAGTCAATCATTAGTCCATTTTTTTGAAATGGCAGGAATCTAAAAGTGTTCTCAGTTCATACTGAAAAAACTACCAAATTTGTGAGTTATATGTCAGCAATCAGATTAAGGTCATGCCATCATTTCCTCTTTGATCATACTGCTTAAATTATGAGTTAATTGCAAGACATTGCATATATAATAATCACACACACTATATGAATCAGTTTAAGTTTGACCTTGATATCTCCTTCGCTAAATGCTCTCCGCATGCCATAAACTGAACTGAAATCAATTCCCGGAAAATCAAGGAAAGCAGGCTTCATTGCTGCTCCATTCATCCAGTCTATTGAACTCAGATTTCCTGAACTGACACTCTTTGGTAATGTCATGTGAGGAAGAGGTTTGTTTTCTTGAATTGAATTATCATCAATGTTCAGAGATGGAACATTGATTTCCATAATATCAGAGCGCGGTGACTCTATCACTGTCTTTTCTAAGAGGTCCTTTTTGCACTCATAGAATACCTCACTCAGAAATTGTTCATTTTGAAGCACATCAATATCTGAGGATTTTAGACCCTGGGAGGAGACATCGTCCGCACAAGATATCATTGAGATGGCTGCTTGCACAGGATCAAGGTCTATTGCTGGTTCTTCGATAATAGGTTCAGGTGCTTTGAACAGATCTCCCTCTAGTAACAAATCATACTCTGAGATTGCAGAAGATTGGACAAGGTCACTCTGAAATAAAAATAGGGGGCAAATATCAGTAAAAGCAGTCTTTTGGCTTTAGAACACGCAGATACTGGAATGTTAAATAATTAATCATAATAGACAACATCGGTAGACATTTTATATGGTGTTGAATATTGGCATCGTACCCATAACAATAATGGTAATAACAGTGTTGGTTACTAGTTAGTTCCAGATGCAGTGTTTTTTAACATTATTTACTCCTCTTCCCTCGCCAAGGAAAAAAGCAAATAATTGACCCTAACTCTCACAATTGACAAGATCCCCCTCTTCAATCCCTTCTACTTATTTATAGACAGCATGCCTGATTAACTAAGTCAAGCTAACGAACTAACAAATTACAACTAACTACTAATGGGTAACTAACATGTTGTAACTACTAATGTAGGTTACCTAACAGTGTTTAAGTAAATAAAAAATTGGCAGCATCTTTAATGTTTAATTATATATTATCCAATAACCAAATATTTTAAGAATTTAATATTTGTTTATTTAATGACGGTAAGAACTTTGCTCTACTATGAGATACCTTGGACAAAAATGATGCCAAAACATTTCATGATAAAATTTGTATGATTCCATCAAGTAAAATGGAAAAGCCACAGTCCAAATTAAGAATTTCTTAGAATGAGTTAATAGGTATTTCAAAATCATCATCATCCAACAAAAACATGGTTTATAGTAGAGATTGTTTTCTCAAGTGTTTTCGAAGGAGAAAATACCAGAAACTAAAAAACAGAGTATGTGTGTGTGTGCTGAGGTCAGAAAAGCTATTTGTCAGCAAAAGAATTATGCATGGGCCTCAGAGCTTCAAGTACAATGTTACGAATAATGTAAAATTCTCTGATTTGGTAGATGGAATCGATTGTTATTATTGGGATAGCATCTATTGTAGGTTAAATGATAAAAGCTAAGGGAGACAATGATATTCAAGCTTTCTATTTCACTTCAGAGCAAAAATACATACAATAGCAAAACACCATATTAGTACGACAAAGCAGCAGCTTTGCAAAAGTGAAAGGTGCCAATACATATAGCTGAAACTTCACACTGGAAGGAAGAGCTGACTAATTCAGGTTATTTGAATTGGTATTAGGTTCATGATTGCGAATTCAAAGCCCATGCTTCACCAAAAAAGCTGACTTTGAAAGATTCCAGGTGTTGATGGCTGAAACATTGAAACTGGCATCATTTAGACCTGAATGAAATTGATCATACCCAGATGGAGAATATGGATCACAACTTTCTTTTGTATGAATAGCCAACAAAGTGAAAGTTTTGTGCAACATAATGGAACCTCCGTTAAAATAATTCTCGAAGATAAAAGTTAACAAATATCAAAATAACTTAATGCCCCAAATTGTTTCAAATTTCAATACAACCCACTTATACTCTTATTGTTTATCGTTGGAGAACAGAAATAGAAGCAAAAGAGCACGATTTTCCCAACTATATTATTAGTGCCAGACAAAAACATGAACAAATTATTATGTTGAGTATTAACCAGTCCTTTTCCTCTAACCTTTTCCTTACTACAAAGAAAAGGAGAATAAAAGGACTTTTTCCTCTTCAATCAACCTCCCTCAGTGCGGCACAAAAAGACAAGCCCCACTAAGAGTTCACACTTCACACCAGAAATTAATAAAGTAAAGGAAGAAATATTACAGAACACGGAAGTATCACAACCAAAACACTTTCCATCTATACTACTTTTCTTTCCTTTTGTAACACTTTTCCAGATCCAGCACTTAGAGCCACGTCTAGCTGTTTCCACTTGTGCTGTGAGTATGACCATGAGAAAACATTCTGAATGGAAGGTAAGAAAGAAAAATAATAAAATCAAATGAATAAATACATATTAAATAACCCAAAAAAAAAACATTTGGTTATTAATTTTCCTTTTCAACCTTGATATTATCAACCAAGTAAATAGGCAAACACATACACTATTAAAATAAGACACTTTCCAAATTTGGAAATAAATGAAAAACAAGGTCAACTATGGACTTAATTCTTAGAGGCAAATCTTTTAATTTTATTTGGCCCCATTTGCTCCAAAGAAACTATTAAGTAGGGAACATTCAGAGTACAGAAGAAAGAGCAGAAGACAGGGAAAAAAAACACAAAATTTTGAAAAATTTTCAACATAAGGAAAATCCCATCAAGCAAATGCAGATAAACTAAGTGCAGAGAGACGAAGAAGCTGAGCAAACAAAAGAAATGAAAATAGTAACATGGCAAAAGAGAGGGTACCATTGAAGCATTGGACTTGTGGGTCATGCAGGACTCCTCAAGTTGTTGAAGCTCTTGAGAGAAGTTCTGCAAATAAGGGAAGAGAAGACCTGTCTCTGCAAACATTTTTCCAGCACAGAAACACTCTCTTGAAAATTCTAAAGCTTCAATGAGATGCAGATAAAACTTCCCCACAAGGAACCACAGTTACGAAGAGAAAAAGAATGTGTGTGATGGAGAGAGAGAGTCGCGGGTAAGAGGTTTGAGCTTTGATGATTTTAAGAGCGCAAGAAAGAGGATTTATAGTATATAATAAAATTTGGGAAAAGTGATGTAAGAAAATACTAAAATAAAGACAAAAGTAGGAAAAGGACACCATCATTTTTATAATGCAGTGACCCCATGTCCCTTGTCACGCTGCTCATTAAAGAAAAATATAATAGTTTTTTTAATTAAAGATAATATTTTTAAAATATTATATTTGCAAATTGTTGCACAGAATACTGGTGAATTGCACCAAGCCAATACCTGTGAACCGTGGACATGAAGGTGGGGTTGGGGCCTTGGAAGTGAACAGTGTTCACCACTCATCAGCAACAGTTATCAGTTGTAGTGAGTGCAAAAACAATGGAGCAAACATTGGAGCAGTGTAGCCTTACATTATTCATTTATTTTAAAATTACTAATGTATCCATATCGTATCAGTATTTAAAACTTAATATACGCTTTATAACATTATCATACTATTAAACTTTAATTACGTTATCTTCAAATATCTTCGTTTATATTTTTCTTTGAATAATAATTTTTTAGCATATTTTAAATATAATATTTTATATAAATTTAAGTATAACAATGTTCTTAAATAAGTTTTTCAAAAGGTAAAAGATGAATAGTAATATAATAATGACAAAGTAATATAACTATTATCTATATTAAAAAAATCAAAGATAAGAACAATAAAATTATAGGTATAAATATTTTATAAAAATAATTATATTTTATTTGATATAATTTATCATAGTGGAGATTTTTTTACTTTAAGCGTTTCTATAACTTTTTTTTTTATATTTTTTGTTTAACTTATAAAAATAAAAAACTTATTTTTAAAATTTGTGTTAACAAAACATTCGTTCAATATTCATATTAGTAAATATATTTATTCATTTAATATATAAGTTATTAATTTTATTATTTATTATAATTAATATTTTTGAAATATACTATTAAATTTATGATATATAACTTTTTATTGATTTTGATTAATTAGTTATTTGTATCTTATTAAAAAAGGGAGAGAAAATAATTTATTATATAAATTAAATTTTTTTAATCAAATCATTCAATTATGTGATATTTTCGTGGTGACTATATACATAAAATTATAAATAATGTAAATGTTAAAAGGTATGTTTTTATAATTGACATTTATTTTTATTAAAAAGAATATAATATCTATTGAAATAGAATTGATTGATAAAGTATTAATTGGTTTTTAAATTATATAAACATTTTCTAGTTTTGATTTACTAAGTAATAATTCTTAATTTAACAGCTTGAATTAACAAAATTCAATGTTTATGACAAGTTACTAAATAGGTAACTTTTTAGCTATTACATTCACGCTGATTCTTCGTACCTCTATAAATATTCTATAAAAATTGTAAATTTAATGTTTTTTTATAAAAAATGTTATATGAACATTTTTAATAAAAAATATTTTTTAAAAATTATATATATATATTTTTAAAATTATAAATATTTTTTTACTCATTTTGCAAGGTTTTATTATATTACTAAGAAGTAAATTTTATTGTAAAAAAATTAAAGAAAATTGTTATAATTTAATATCAAATTTTAATATTATACGTACGTACCAATTTATAATTTTAATTAATCAGTATATGGTTTTATTTGAAAATTAAAAATATAAAAATATATTAATTTTAATAAAAATGTAATTTTATCATTTAAATATATTTTACAACTTGTATTATTATTATTATTATTTTTTTTTTATCTTAAACATTAAATAACATGACATAATTATATCTCTTTTACTATGTTACTGAATATTAAAGTATAAGAAAGTATAAAAATTTATTGTCTCTTATCATACTATCTATTTATTAAACTCTCTCATATTATATTATTTCTTATCTAATAGTATCTACCATGCAGAGTGAGAAGATTTTCGCCACTTTGAGTGGAGATCTACTCACTCAAAAAATATGTTTAATAACTTAATATATTTGATAACTTATAAAGATATTAAATTTTGTTAATCAAATTATTTAATTAAAAAATATTATCTTAATGATTATGTTTCTAAAATTTTGATGATAATTATAAATTTAGTTTTTATACTTTAACACTTATTTTTATTTTAGTCCTTACACAAAAAAAGAAATTACAATTAGATCTCTACATAAATAAATGTTTTTATATTAATTTTTACTGTTTAATATGCATTGTCAACGAAGGAATCAAAATGTAAAATAAACTCATGAAAACTAAAACATAAATTTTAAATTATAAAAAGAACTTATGTTAAGAACGTACTTATTTTTTTTTACTAAGAAAAATATTATTTTATTCTATATGATTTTGTTAATTTCAGTCCTTAAATTTAAATTTAAATATTTAAATCTACAAAAAATTTATTAAAAAAATAATTCATTCATTATAATAATTGCATAATAATTTTTTCTTTTAATAAAATTTTACTATAATTATTTTTTTAAATTTAGTCTTGTCAACATCTTTTTTATTTTTTATTTTTATCTTTTATCAAACTTTTAAATAAATGAATAAATTATTAATTTTAACACATTTTATTATAATTTTTATTATACATTAATAATATAATTTTCATTATCTTTAAAATATGAAATTGAACTGTTTTTTTAAGTTTATTTAAAGATATAAATTTTTAGTCTCTTAAAATTTTGTGATTTTTTTAATAAGTATTTTATTTTTTATTCTTTTAAACAAGTCTCTCTCTCTTTCTTAATCTGCTATTAGAATATGCACTTAATTATAATAAAAGTGTAATAGATGTTTCTCCTTGTAATTGAAATTTTATTATATAGTGTGTTATTTTCATCTTATACCTCTTTTTTTAAAATTTTGATTAAAATACACATTTATGAATTAGTCTATATAATTAAAATTAATATTTTAATCTTTATACAATTTTTTTTTTTACATCTTAATATTTTTCATCTAATTTTATTAATAAATTTAAACATTAAAAATTAATTCAAAAATATTTATTTATGTAAGAAATGAATTGTAATTTTCTTTGTAGAAATTAAATTTAAAAAGTATGATGTATCGAAACTAAATTTTTAATTTAACTTAAAATTTTAAATAATGGTCAAATAATAATTATCATATAGGTAAAATATAAATTCATAATATCTATTAAAAAATTAACGCTTAAATTTTAATTTTTAAAATGATATTATATTATATTATACCTCGTACTCTTCAAGTGAAATGTATATTTTCCCATCTACATGTCCACGCGCTAAGACGATGCCTTTTCACGAGTCCTTCAGTTTTGGTTTATATGAGTTTTCTCCTCGGGTTATCTTTTAAAGCGAGGAACAACCGTTAATATTGGATGGCTATGGTGCCCTCGAGCCCCACGTTATAGAAATTAAGAGAGAAGTGAAAAGGATGTAATTCACCGATCAACAATCTAAAATACATAAAATGGACAGGTAGAATTTTTTTTTTAATTAAAGTAAAAGATTTTAACCTTTGAATAACGTAACTGATTTAAAAAGTGTTATTATTTATTAATAATATTAATATAAAAATGTTCTTATTCGTATGAGCAAATTTTAATAATGTCAATTTTGTTTATCACAACCCCTTTTTTATAAAGAATCTAGAATATTATTTCTACACCACTTATTTATTTAAGATAGATAAATAAAGGAGAATATAAGTATAAAATTTATTTTTTATTCAAAATAAAACAAAATTCCTTACAACAAATATCTAATAGAATAACATAATATTATATTGAGTTTATAATACTCAAATACAAAAAATTATACTACATAGTTCCCTCTTTATAAGGTCTCTAAATATAAAGAAAAAGAACTTTAATACAAAATTACTCTACTCTAGTTTCTAACATTTTTTCACTAGTCCCTCAGCCTGTGAAGTAGATATAACATCTGCTACATCTGCTCACGTACCACCGTACGGTCATTGCAGTACACACGCACAACATAGACAGAAATGTAAGGGTGAACTTACAAAAATAAAATAAAATAAAATCATATATATAGAGAGCAAAATATTACTCACAACAACAGCACGCACACAACAACATAGACAGAAATGTAAGGATGAACTTACATAAATAAAATAAAATCATATATATAGAGAGCAAAATATTACTCACAACAACAGCCCTATGCATTCCCAGCCTATCAATGCACAACATGAAAACGGTATCTAACTGGTTTCACAGCCTAAGTAGTCTAGAAGGAACCGTGCCGGTCTGGGAGCGACCCAGATATCTGGATCCAGACAGCACAACACAGCTCAGCATACTCTATTGTTACACATCTACCCACCTAAACGTATAACTCGGCTCTATAATGATGCAAGACATATATCTCAGCATGATGCAGCATGGCTAAAATTATTTCAACAGCTCAGCTAAGACAAATTTATAATAAATCAGCCAAATTTCAATGTTATTAAATCAGTTATCAGCAGTTACAACATAGAAAAAATAACTTTTAGGTATTAAATTCTTTATATCTCAACTTTTTATCAAAGAAATCTAACAAAAATCAACTCAAACCTTTTTTTAATAGCATATCAAACCGTTTAAAACATAGATTATAGGCTAAAGTAAACTCTCATTACCTTAAAACGATGATTCACACCAGATCTACCAAATATTACTTGTTTTAACGCAAGATTCACCGAAGAATTGACTTTAGAATAGAGTTTCTCTTTAAATCCCTCAGAACGGACGCAGAATCACAAATCTGGAGAGAAATCTAAGTTTGGAAAGGTTTAGTATGAGAGAAAATGGTGGTATATGGCCTTGAAACCTTTGAGAATGATGGAAAAGTGAAAATTTTATGCAAGGACCCCTATTTATAAAAAAAATAAAATTTCAGTACTGTTCACGCTGCCTTACTGTTCATGCCGGAGTACTGTTCACACCGAAATTACTGTTCACACGTTTTTGTACTATTCACTGA